TTTAGTTAATGTACACTTATAGTAGGAATGATAATATGTAGTACCCTTCATCATTCTGAAAATGAACACACAGTCTCTGAACATTTAAGATCTTTTAATATGTTATGATGTTAGTACTGCAACACATTAATTATTCACTTTATGGTTTTAATTTCCCAATTTTTGCTGGTAAGTGAAATCGACTACTGTAGAATACTTTATTTTCGCTTGGAATTTATTTTCGCTGAAGGGATGATTCTGTGAAAATAAAATATACTTTTTTCCCTATATTTCACATTAAACTAATGAAAAATCAGTGAAAATAAATTCCAAGCAAAACGCCCAAAAAGCCTTTTCAGCGAAAATTTATTCCAGCGAAAATAAAGTATTCCACAGTATTGAAATTATAGCTATGCGATCATATAAGAAATACAATAGCACCAATATATTGTTTCACTTTCACTAACAAGATTGAAAACTCAAAATTAATACATGTTTGCTAAAAGATTTTGTGTTTGTAAGTAATAACTAATGTAATAGTCAGTCTGATCAGGTCAGTGGTCGTCAGTTTGTTGATATCATCAAAGACATTCCTAATGAATTCAGTGTTATCCATTTTTAGGGGAGGGGGACATTTTTGGGGATAGAATGTATATAAAACACTTCATTGTCAGTATTGAGATTTTGAGTACATCGTTATTAGATTCAAATAATCCATGCAGCGTGAAATGGCTTGATTCATAATTTAGGAATGAATAAAATATATGCACCTAAATTTGAAAACAATATTTTAAATATTAAAAAAATGTTTCTCTTTATATCATCACCTGATTATATTTCATCTCCGATTCTATTCAACTTTTAATTTGCCGTTTCAATTTCAGCAATTTCCATTTCTGTTATGAAGCACTACATGTAATGAATTTAAGATTCTGCTCACGTGGGATAGGCGCCCTGGATGTGCCAAGTTGTCCTAGCACATTAACATGGTTTATTTAACTGTCTTTCCATAGGGACATACTATGTTGTTCTGTCACGCCAGATATTGTTATCGACGATTTCTGCCGGGATATGAGACAAATCTGCAGTTTTGATGATGAGCAGCCATTTACTATGAAGTGGGTTGATGAAGAAGGTAAGACCACCATTATTCGCTTTCACCTTTCAATATCATAATTTTTGCTTTCAAACTGTGGGTGCCCCATTTTCGAAAATATCTGTATTTTTCAATAATTTCTTTGTTAATTTTTTACCAAATGAAAAAAAATTCAGGTACTTTTTGTGAAAGGTGGCAAGGGATGCATTTGTATGTTCATAGGGTGAACATTCTGCATTAGTTTTTTAAAAAAAATTGGAGCCTTTTTAAAAACTCTGTGTAATGACATCACTGTTATGTAAATGTATTTTTTGTTCTGTTATGATAATTTTCAGTCATTTTAGACCAAGAGAGAATTTGTGCAAAATGTGCAAAAATTATGGAATTTAAGGATTGGACTTAAGTTGATACAGCAGCATTACTGATTTTGATTCCTACTTGAAATATGTTGGTAATTACCTTAAATACCAAACTCTTTCAGCAGAAATACTTTTATCCAGATAAAGTTAAAGGACAGTGGTCGTCACATCACACATGCCCAAAATATGCACACCATATTAACAATGATGGCCACTTTAGGTTTTGTGTAAATCAACACATAGAAATGAGACACTATTTAAGGTTTAACATTTCTGAGATGAATGTAACACTTCTAAGAACTCTAAAAGTCCAAGTCGGTAGTTAGTGTACATTGAAACTCGTATTCATTATGCTTGCTGCTGAAGGGTGCATTTCATTGTGGCAAAATCACTGTTTACCAGCGCAAATCTCGCACATACATGGCGTGATGACTAATGCACTTCAAAAGAAGGAATATTTTTGACGTACCGGTAGCATTTTAATGCCAGGTCTTGCAAGATATGTTTCTACACACAGTCTCAGTGTTCGTCTCTCCAGAAATTTAAACCACTGTGGCAGCAACGATTGGTTTATTCATTTGCATAGTCATGTGTATCCAAACAGAAATTTCAATGTTTAACATAAAACAAGCTCACTTAAATAAACCATTAGGGTGGTCAGAGTGACTGCTGAGGTGTCCAAGATGGTGGTAAAACCAAGTACTGTAGTGCAGGGTTTTTTCTAAACCGGGGAACAGGGGCGCAGAAACCTAATACTCTCTGCTGGCGCCCTCTTACCGAATTGCCGATTGAACTTTCAAGTCATAAATATATTTCTTGAGCCGCGCACTTCCGTGCTGCCATACAACATGAAATCTTTCTCAAATATATTTTTCTCCTTGAAAAATTCCCAGCAACACAAGCGGACAATGTGTCTGGACACCAAATACACTAAAATTACTCCAAAAATATTTCAATGGCGATAGATACACCGTTAAAATGACACAGAAACCTTCAGATATGGCATTTCCAGGTCTATCGCCTGTGTGTGCTCCCTCTTGTTCATTTTTTCTAGAAAAACCCTGGTAGTGATATGTTCACTGTTTGTATTCTGGGGAAAACAATGCATCTTTATCACATAGCATTGATAGCTGTGGAAAATGTGCAGTAATTGTTAGCATCTGCACAAGTGATTTATACATAAAAAATCAGAAGAAACAACAGTATTATGCATGTCAAAAATATATAAGTTTGCAAAGAACTGCTCCCTGATTTAACATTACTAGTTGGTTAATAATAAAATGAAAAAAATACTAAATTGAATGTACCTTGAATATTGGTTAATAATTCAATAGAACAGAGTAGTAAAACATTGTTTTCATTATAATCTGATAAAAGGCAATGGAATTTTTCTATAATTCATGATGACATTAAGTGGTATATCTGTCAGCAGACATCACTTTCTCATGCTAGGTCATAACGTAAAATTGTCATTTTCTGTAAAAATTTATTTTAAGATTGGTGGTCATGTGAAATTATTTATATATTTTTTTTTTATATCTAGCAATTACTGGACAAACATTCCGCTTACATGTTGACCTTTTATTTCTTTATACATATAAGCATTCATACATACATGTATATTTTGTTATTTAGCCTATTGAATAAAGTCAAAATAATTATCACATTTATTTGTTTTAAAAGTGATGATTTTAAACATCATTCATTGATTTAAGAATTTCTTATCTAGTACAAAAATACTTTTTTAGTGAAAACCATTCTGAAAACATGATAAAATGGGTCGTTTCGGAACTGTTTCTAAAGGAATTTGTGTTAAAGCAATATTTTCTGAAAAACAAAAAATATTAGTTGGAATTTCCCAATAAATTTGGATAATCGTAGGGAACCAACTTCGAACTACATTAGTTATTATTTTTGCACTATATGTAGGTAACCTGAAATAATTTTTCCTTTTTTTGGAAACTTTTTCAATACCAGAAAAAACATGAAAAAGTTTTGAACAAATTTGCAAAATGTAATTATTTCTCCTCCAGTTGACAGGTAGACATTAGTTACATACAGCTCTACATGTATAAGCTGTAATAGTTGGCATATATAAAATATTCTATCCAACATTTTTACCCCGTTTGTATTTGTTTTACACAACTAGATTTTTTGGTTCTGTAGATTTTTATAAATTATAATACTATTCGTGACCATTTAAGAATGAAATGGCAAACTAATAACAAATATGGTCATTTTAAATGCATTACAAATTCTAGATATTTAGCCGAGTCTAAGGTTTCATCAATTAAATACCAAATAGAAAATAAATATTGGGTACCCAAATTTTGTTCCTTGGAAACAATGATTTTGAGATTCCCAGATAAACCAGACTTTGGTGACAATATGGGGTTAGAAAGTTGGCTAAAAACATATAATTAAGATCAGAATTCAAAACCTTTTTTTTAAATTTAAAACAACTTATCACAAAAAATAATTTAGTTTCCGGAATTGCCTGGCCTAATACCGGGTAATGTGTTAAAAACACATTCACCAACATACATACAATTTCTAGTAAACTGCTGCAAATCTTAATGGTATGTCCCCTCCCCCTACTGCTTATTAATTGACCCATCCATTCTTATTATGTTAATTTATGCTAATTATGCAACACTATGCAAATATATGCATTCCCTGTCCTCAAGCAAGCAAACAGACTTTATTCAATGTTTATATATTAGTACCAGTTTTATTAAAATCAATCTACGATTTCATTAGAATTTTATGTTTTAAAGTTTGAAAGATTTGTCATTACTTACAGCTCACGATTGTGTAACATGACAGAAATTTTTCTGCTTTTGAAATTTGAACCATGAGAATATTGAGAATATTGATAATGCAGTGAATTTATGTAAATACATGTGAATGACTCTGTCAATAAAACTCACTATATTTTATCTACTTTATCCATATTAACATGAAATCTGCCTTTACTTTGTTTGCTTTGTGCTCATGTTGCAAGATACTGTGTTAACATAACCTTTCAATAATAAGAATTAAAAACTAGTAAATGTATACCTAAGTTTTCTTTTAAAATTATAGTAACTTGATCTGTTTTGGTTTCTATATTGGCTAACAGTGACTTGAGTTATTTTATTACTCCGTAACATTGTTGTTTGTACATGTACCACCAAAGTATGTCTCTCTGTTCTGGAAATATAGAGCCTAGAATCTATTGATTTTTTCTGGTTATGGTTGGTGGGCATTTTAACTTATTAGCCATGCAAATGTATTCAAACTTCATGTACTATGGACTGACTTTACTGGAACCAAAAAAGGTAAAATACACCCT